ACCATTGCCGTCGAACACCACACCATTGTACCTACACTCAATAAATCAATCAATCAATCAATCATTGTTTATTATGGTATAATTTTATACATGTTCTGGTACCGCAGTGAGCATCACCAGAAAATGAGGAAACAACAAATCAATAGTGTTACAGATTGTATTAAGTTACAAAAATATTTATATATGAGAAAACATAAATCAGAAAACTAATAATTGTTTGTATGATCACAGTAATAAAATTTGAATATATTGTAAGTATAGGATTATATACATTAAACAAATGGTAATTATATAGTGGTAACAAAAGATAAAAAGTTGGACAGTATGTAGCAGCTTGAGTATAAGCTCACTGAACTTAGTATTATCTGCCAAACGATAAATGAGGCAGGCTACAGCAAAGCCAAATTTAATTACATCTTAAATAAGGTAAAAACATCACTCTTTCCCGCCACCACGCTACACCGTCCGAAGGAGTCTACAATAGTCCTGCCCACGATATCATTTTCTGGCCGTGTTACCCTCCGTATTTGTCGTATTTTCAGGCGACATGATTTGTTTCTGCCGATTTCTCCGCGGCCGAATCTTAAGAGGTTACTGTCCAACAACAGGGATCCTTTATCCACCATTGAAAAATCGAGGGTTTATTCAGTCCCATTAGAGAATGATTTAGGCGGTCGCACCCATTATATTGGTGCGACAACCAGAATGTTAGCTAACCGTATTTTAGAACATCAATATTCCATCAGGGAAGGCAGGAATGACACAGAACTCGCCAGAATGGTGCTACAATGCAAGCATACCCCTCTGTGGAATGATGTGGTCATAATAAAACATTGCAACAACAAGAATCTTGTATATATCTGGTAAGCCCTCATCACCAACGTATTAAAGCCCTGCAACACCCCCACACTGGATTTGCCCCCTTTGTGGATCAGTTTGTACAGTTATATAAAACATCGCAACTAAATCCACAATATAGAAACGTCTAACGCATGTGCAGTAAAAAACGCGTGTGTTTTTATTTAAATATTCTTCTTATATTCTACCGTTGCTGTTATTCCAAAATGTTAATTAAGATTGGAATGTTTTAAATTTTGTATTTAAAAAAAGGATCTTATATCTTCTAATGACCTGAAGAAGATGAAAGTGTATGTCATCGAAAGAGCTCGTCAATCTAGTGACATACGTATTTAATTTAACGCTTATATGGTAAAAGTTTTTGTAATAATTATGAAAACTGAATTAAGTAATAGAGAACTTGCATGAACGTCATTTTGCGTGACAATTGTCATCACTCCACCTCCTGTGCCATATTTGCGCCATGCTGTTTATGGTGGTGTATATGGTTTGGCTTTTGTCTTGACATTTATCACATGTAGAAGATGGCAAAACATGCATTTTTACCAGGTTATTTAACAACTTGTACTGCTCAAGATGCCAACTGGTACAAAAGTAAAATTGCAATGTGTGATGGAGCTGATCTGTACGTAGGTGACTTGAGTTTGTTCGTAGATCATCATAGTTCATGACTGATAGAACATGGTGACACCTTCTCTTAATAACCCAATTTTTAACATTAATCATGTGGAAGCATACAAATCACTTGAAGTTCATAATTTTGTAACAAGTGACTGGATTGATCCAAATATTTTGGAGAATAGTTCTTTACAACAAACTTATCTTAGCAAGATATCTTTAAGTACATAAAAACAAACTGTACCACTAGGTCATCTGAAAAAATCCATCAATGAGTTTCTAACTTTCCTGTTACATTTAAAACTGCATGTGGAGCTATCTTTTATGATATTTTACTAAAAAAGTTTTTATATATTATAATAATTGAAACTATTAAAAATTTTTTTAGTAAAATATCATAACAGATAGCTCCACATGCAGGTTTAAATGTACAGGAAAGTTAACCAACTCGTTGATGGATTTATAGTCTGTACAACAATACAAAAACCTAGTGCTAAAGAAAAAGAGATACAGATGAGTTTTATTAAAAAATTATAAATGCAAATAATGAGTAAAATCATCATTAAGTCCGGCCATACTTGAGATATGTCACCCAACTCCCTCTATCTCCCCCACCCCCTTGACTTTTTAGACTGATTTAGAGAACAAAAAGACTTAAATCTCTCTGCAAAATTTCAGAAATTTTCAACAAAAAGCACAGGAGTTATTAAGCTTCAAAGACAATGAACAATATCAAGGAACCCACAAAATTGTACCCCCCACACAAACAAACATCCATACATGCAAAAACACCCCTAATGCATTTCTCAACATTTCAAAGTTTCCTGGGTTCAAAAATGTAAAAATCTGGGAGGTTATGTTTTGACTGATCACCATACTTTCTCTCTTATATATAAGAGTCAGGAAAGTAAAAATGTACATTTTATAACAGTTTTATTAACTATTGCACAGCATTACTTCTATATTTGGTAATTTCTTCTCTGTAATTTTTAAATTTGTTTTATTGTTTTAAAATTTTCTTACACCATATCCTTTCATTAGGTGAAACACTCAAAGTTTATGCCTTCTCCCATCTAAAGTTTGGTTACTCTTTCCTGTATCAGGTAATGCTATAACAGAACGGAAACATCACAAATATGGTGCTGGCCAAAATGCACATGCACAATCACGTACATCTGGTACCCTGATATGTCACATGCAAGTTGTCTATACAAGTATTAGATCTGATTATTCGTACAAATAAAATTTTTAATATGTATCTTAAGAAATTATAATTTAGTATACAGTAGAATCTTGATTATCTAATTTGGACTGAGGATACCTAATACTATAATAAATTTGGATAACACAGAATGTATAGCAATTTATTATATAAACTGAATTAAGATATGCAAATATATATCTTGTACTCTACTTTTAGACTTACTTAGAGAACAAAAAGACTTAAATTATCTAATAAAACATTTTACATTTTATTTACAACTATTTATTAAAGCTAATGTAAACCTATGATTACAATAAATATTTTTTTCATTTTTTTTTTAATTTAAAAATTTCATATTGCCATAAGATGCTTTGTGGCCCTATGAACAAGTCTTGAATGCAAAAACAACATTCTGATGTGTATGACATTAGTGTATGCAGAGAACATTCAGTAAAGACACTTTTTTATCATACAGGTAAAGATAACTGCAAATAAAATTTGTTGGCATAATATATTACAAAATATTAAAAGAAACATGTTTTGTACTAATAGTGTGATAACAATTAACAATAACATTAAAGAAAAACATGTATCATGCCAAAGACATTACTCAGTCCATTGGCCTCGCCTTATCTTTTTGTGTTATAAAAATATTAATAGCTTATCCAGACAAGGGTTAAATGTATAATTTGATAATGCACCATTTAAATTTAACACATACTGTACATTCCAATTAAAATATAATGATAACTTAAAATTTATATCAATGTTGTAAAATTTGTTTTTGTTTTTCCTGAATAAGACATTCTGTAAATTGTCAAAAGTAGTTGTGAGATATTTTGTATTTATTTTTGTGTTTTTACTCATTGGAACTTTATTAACACCAATAGACAGTGCTCTTAATTGTTTATTTGGTAGAAACTGGCATGAGAAGATAATTATTTCTGATGTAAAACCACTTTTCAGCAAAATGCATTTGTCATAAACCTCAATACTACCATTCAAACCTTTAAAAATTCAGTATAGTTTAAATTTTCAAATGTTTTCGGTTATCTTAAACAACTTTCCTCAGGATAGAAAGAAATAAATTACAATTTAAAAATTTAGACTCCAGCTTTTGTTTTTATATTTAAGTTGTAATTTGTTTCTTTCTATCCCGAGGAAGGTCATTTAAGAGGACCAAAAACATTTGAAAATTAAGATTACACTGCATTTTTAAAGGTTTGCACAGTAGTATTGTGTAGTAGTACCACAATACTACCATGCAAAAGATGTAAAACCATCATTGATAATAAATAATAGTAAACATTCTAACAAAAATGTTTGATTTTTCTAAAGTATTTGCTTAGTAAAACTTTTCTATGAAGCTCACACAATCATTTTTGAGATTTATAGAATTTTTATTGACTTTACTTTTATAATTGATAAGAAATAATAATTTATAGGAAGTAGATTTATTAATATTTAAATATTTTATACCATTTATTAAGTAATTAAAAACTTTTTTTTCCTTTATTAGTTTCTTTATGTAAATCAAGCTTTTGCACCTTCACCAGATCAAGAAGTTAGAAATATATATGAGGTATTATAACTCATTATATATATATACAGTATATTATGTTGATTAATGAGAAACATTTAAGTCAAATATCTGAAATTTATTAATGTTTTTCAGTGTTTTGGATCAGATGGAAAATTAGTGTTACATTATGCAAAGACACAAGCATGGGGATAATTCTGCAACTTCCTGTAAATAGGCAATAAGAATCTAGTCTTATGATTTTGTGTATTTTTTAAAATAAATTAGATTATAATTTTGTAAGTTTATTGTTGATTAATCTATATTATAATAAAACTATGTTACAAAAATTTTTTTTAAATTTTATCTTTCTAATAACAACAACATATATATATATATTCAGTTAGATTCTCTAATAATGAAGACCATTTTATTAAAGAACAGAAAAATATATACACAATTTTCCATTTGACCACATTAATTATCAGACTCCCATCTGAATGTAGGAAATTCTGCTATAATTTTACATAAAAATTAATAATAAAAAATTAATTTTGAATTAATTAAATAGAAAATTCTAGAAGATAGATTAACTCCAATGTGTCACATTGCCACGTTACCAGTTATGTCTGTTAGAGACCGGCTAGAACTTTTGCAAGGCCTGGGGCAAAAGGAATTTGTCAAGGTCTATAGTGAAAGTTAAGTAGTAAAAATGATGAAGATTACTGGTCATTTAAATTTGAAAAAAGACAGAAATAGTGTATTCGTTTGATGCTAAAGTATTGCAATTTAAAGTGTGTGATATTCTAGTCTACTAAGATTTCAACTTCCGAAAAACATTTATTTTCTTTTAATGGTGTAGTAATAACTGTTTCCTTGTTGCAAGTAGGTAGTAGTAGTAGTAATAGTAGTGGTACCTCCAATGCTAGGTTGCATACCATCTTCCATCGATTTCAATCATGGATGAGGGCTTCAGCTTCCAAGTCATATTGAGCATCTTCAAACCTTGAAGAAAAGTTCTATGCCAAGTATTCCTGGGGTACCCTTGTGGTTGTTTAACACCAGGGGAACTCATTTCATGGCTGTCTTAGGGTCACTATTGTTCTCCATATGAAAAATGTGGCCACCCAGTCAGACTCTTCTATGGGCAACAATGTTATGAGGTTTGCTTATCCCACTTCTTTGGAGAATCTCTTCATTTGTGATATGATCTAAATATCAGATCTGTAGGATTCATTGTAGGCATCTTTGTTGGAAGACATCAAATCTTCTATTGATGTTTCTCGATGTGTTCCAGGACTTGCTAGCATAAACAGCTATTGGAATCACGATGGAAGTGAACTGATGGAATTTGATTTTCAATGAGATGGACGATGAGGACCAGATCTTGTTCATTTTCCAGAAGACTGGCATCGATTTTTCGATGTGGCACTTCATGTCCAATTCTGCGCCATCATTTTGGAAAATAACACTACCCAAGTAGGTAAATTTCCCCACCACCTCCAATTGCTGTGCTCTGACAATTACTCCCTGTGTTTGGACAGCATTACATACATGAATAATTTTTGACTTCTTAGCATTTATCCTGAAGCCAGTTTTGTGTGCCTCCTGACCCAATGTAGCTATGGCGTCCTGTAGCATTGTCTCACTTTCCTCTAATAGGGTGATATCGTCAACAAAAACCAAATCTCCAAGATGGTCCAGGTCAAACTGGTGGATGCCAGCCCAATGCGTGCACCAGATTCTTCTGTCCGCCACATGATATAATTAAAGGCAATGAGGAAGAGGAAAGGAGACAGGACACAACCTTACCTGACTCTTGTTGTAATTTCAAAGAAGTCCATGTGACCACCTTCAGTCTTGATACAACAACTGGAATGTAGGTATAAGGCCTTGAAAATGGTAACAAAGTTTGTAGGTACACCATATAATCACAGGATCTGCCAGAGGGATTCACAGTGAACACTGTCAAAAGCCTTCTTGAAATCAATGAAATTGATGGCCAATGGATGTTGATACTCAATGTATTGTTCCATGATATTTTGAAGGGAGAAGACCTTGCTGCATGATCTTCCTTGGCAAAACCCAGCTTGCTCTTCCTGCAAGCACTGATTGAGGGCAATCTGCAGGCATTAAAGGAGGACCACACAAAATTCCTTTCCAGGCAAGTGTACCTCACCAATTGGTACACTTGGAGATATCTCTTCTCTTAGGAATTCTATACCACCCCTTCTCCAATCCTGGGACCACTTCACATTGCCAACACCTGTTAAACAATAACATTAGTTTTTCCAACATGGGCTGCTCTCCATGCTTCAAAATAGCTTCAATTTCGTCCAAACTGGCTGCCCTGCTTTTCTTTAGGCTCTTAATTGCAAGCTCCACTTCCTCAATGGTAATATCACCAGTGTCCACCTGAAGCTCATCCTGTGTATCCCCAATATCGAAATCGTATGTGATAGTCGGTTCTGCTTGATTAAATGTTTCCTGAAAATGTTCCACCCACCTCTTGTTCTGTTCATCTTGAGTGATCAGAAGCTTCTCGTTTTTGTCTTTTATTGGAATGCTGGAGTTACTTCTCATCCCAGTCAGTTCATTGGCTATGCGGTACAGGGTTTTAGAATCATTCTGGTCGAAAACCTCTTGTGCTTCCACGTTCCGATTTTCGTAATATTTCTTGCAAAAAAGATCGTTTCCGACATTAGACACTGTTGTCAGTTTCCTCCAACGCCGTCATATTAAATTTTGTTTACTGTTGCTGTTTCCGTAGCATTCATAATTTTTATAGGGACGTGTTGCTAACCCGAAGCCCAACCTTCCTTCTTTTACATCCAGGCTCAAACAGTTATTAGCTAATGAAGCCTAAAATTTTAAACGTTATACATTAGACCCCCCTATAACGCTTAGATACGTTCCACGTTATTCGAATTTTACGTTGTAGGAATCATTAAATACATGAGCCAATCGCAGCCCGACACGTGTGAAGTTTACGGACTAAGTCTGTTTGAAAGGTTTTCTTCTATAAAATTAACCGATTCTAGACTAATTCCACTCAACATTTCCAAAACACGTATAATTTTTTGGGAATAATCCGTATAAACTATGCTATAAACAAAAAATTATAGGATTACTTACCGAGTGTGTACCGTTCGACTACGCCGTTGCTTAAAGCTGGTTTTCATCGCGGAACAGCACACGAAACGACGGCCGCAATTTCTGATAACGAATTTTTGGCAGAAAAATAACTTGACCTTTGGAGACATCATTAATATAAATAATTTTTATGGCCGTTGAATAAGAAGTGTTTCTTTCACAAGAAATGTATAAAATTAGTGCTGTATTAGACTTACGGTACCTAATTTACATACTGTACAGACGATAATAAACTCAACTTACTAGCCTAAACTCTCCATAGCGTGGCGCTAGACGGCGGAAATTATATATATAATTATAATAAAGTTACAATAAATTAAGTTAATATATAATTATGTATACAGTACCTAATTTATAATTAATTAATTAATTAATATATAATTATATGTACAGTACCTAATTTAATAACAATATATATATGAAGATAAACGATGATTGAAAACTTAACCAGATTAGTATTCCATAACAGATAAAAAGTATTGTTCGGCTTATAAACAGATAAACAGATAAAAAGTATTCCCCTTAGGCAATGGACTACTTTACTGACCATTGGTAGGTGTAACTGTGCATCATGTGATTGGTATGCATAGTTTAATGGAAATTCAGGCAGAAGAAAATAAAAGTTGTTTTAGATTTTTAGAATTAATTTTTACTATTATTAATTGTTTATTTAATTAATATACTATTTAATAATTTTTGGTATTTGTTTATGATGAACATTTACCGGACGCGACGATGACCAGCCAATTTTTTTAACACCCTGAATCTTAACATAAAACGATTTTAATTATTATGCTCTAAAATAGAATAAATAAACACCACTAAAGACACGAAACGTCTAGGACAGGAATCCCCAAACTTTTTTCACAGCAGGCCAGATAACCGAGAGAGTGACTAGCACGGGCCGCAAAACTATTCGTTATCGTTCGTTATATATCGTTATATATAACGTTATATATCGTTCAATCCAATACACTGAATACACAAAAAATAAAGACGACAAATATTTATTTACAAAGAAGACGAAATTAGCAATAAGATAGTTTAAACACGTCAATGCAAGTTAAAACACGATCGCTGAAACTGACTGGTAATCGCTTTTCTTCAAAAGCTCTGGTATCCGTAGCCACAAAAAGTCGTTGAAATTTTTATTTCACCGATTTTCCCAAAGACGCAAAAATAGATTGGACCAATTTGGGCATTTTTAATTACACTTATTTTAATTTTTTGTACATAGTAAGTTTATCTACAAACTATGCTATTCCCATACAAACAATTGATTGGGCCAAGCCCAGGCTACTGGGATAACATTTGCACTTTTTGTCCGAGTTTTTAAAAAACATTCCCACGTTAGATTTTGATAATTTTTGAATTGAAAATTATCAAAATGGTCACTTTCTGGAAAATTAACTCTGAGAAAAGTTATACAGTATTCAAAAAACGAAAGTGTCGACTTTCGCATCTTTGACGCTTAAAGTGGTAAGCATACTTAACCCTCAATATAACAATATTTTTATACTCTAAGTACGAGCCAGGTCTCGAAGGGCTTTACTATTGGCCATATTGTTTATTTATCGTGTACTGGGGTCAGTTCTTCCGTACCGTACTCAGTTACGTTGTTGATTTTTTTCCGGACAGTTTTTTTTCTTTTCTGGTGTTCTTGTGTTTTCATTATAGTTATAGTTTGTGAAAATTTTGGATTCAACTTGTGAAAATATTCAATGAACATGACAAAGGTCAAAACTACATTTTGACCTTTGTCATGTTCATTGAAATTAAAATTTTTCTAAATGGTAATAACGAGCTAATTATTGTGGGAAATAGAAGTTGCATTTGCCCAAACATAGACAAAGAAAACATGTCAGTAAGTGAAAGTGACTAATATATAGAAACTACATCATTAGGATGTGTACAAATTGCGCACTATATGCATCATTTTAGATAACAAAAGTATATATTAACACGAACTAACCTTCTGTTTGTTATGTTGTAGAACACAACCTAGACACCAAAGTCACGAGCTCGAAAGGATATTGGAAAATTACTAGGATTTCTCAAACGGGATCCCGGATCCCGGCTGTTTGTTTAACCCGGGAAATTTTCATCTCGGAAAATCCCGCAAATTTCTTAAAAATTTAGTTTTCTTATTT